ACCAGTCTGCACCAGTCAGCTGTACCCATGTCCTGTACCAGTGAGCCTTGATTCAGGGGATGGTGTTATGTGCTCAGCACACACTTTCCTGCCATCATCAGGCAGAGATGAAAGCAGCGACGCTTCCCTGCAGAAATCTGCTCGGACTCCTGATGAGGCAATCAGCTCCTTTGATATTTCATACCTTTCACACTTGCCGGGGGAAAAGAAAAATGTCTTTCTGAACAAAGACAAATAAACCTTTGAAATCAAGACAGCCTCTGAAATTGTACCAGAATGACAATGACTTCTCATCACAGCTCCTGGAGAAACTGCATATGTTCAAAGCTGCCTCTTCTCCCCCTCCAGGAGCGGATCTGGAGATGTTAAAGATTTAGAGCACACTTCCACAATGTGTCTGGGGGCACTTCTCTGCACCACGGGGCTGTAGGGCTGGGTGAGTGATCCAGCAGCAATTTCAAACAGAAAGCATCAGCCAAGCTCCTCCATCTACATACATTCTCCATAGAGTTTTACCTTTATATGCGTGCACCTCACTGACCTGCTGAGCTGTCTGAACATCTCTGCTCTTCTCTGCATGTCTGTATGACTGCAGCACAGTGGGTAAGCACCTGGTCTCCTAACAGACAGGCTGTGGGTACTTGAGAGAGGTGCTTTACCTTAGGTGTTCCAGTATCCCAGTCCACTCAGCACTACAGTAACCAGGATGAGTTCCTGTCAAGGGATGGACTGTGTCCTTCTGTACTATATAAAACCCACCTATTTTTGAATCGCTTTATCCAGTATAGGGTCACAGGGGAGCCAGAGCCTATCCTGGCCAGCAACGGGCACAGGGCAGGGTACTCCCTGGAAGCGACACCAGTCCATCGCAGGGCACACACAGACACAAACGTAGACACACACACCAGGGCCAATTGATCCCAGAGGCCAATTAACCTACCAGCACAGACCAGTCTGTGGGCTGCGGAAGGAAACCGGAGCACCTGGAGGAAACGCCCGTGAACACAGGGAGAACGTACAAACTCCACACAGACAGCACCCCAGGAATTGAAACCCAGGGCCCCAGGGTTGCAAGGCGACACTGTTGACCACTGCGCCAACATGGTCAGCAAATACCACCATTAAATCCAAATTTTATTTTACAGAAATTGTCATGTGGTACAGAAGCCTATAAGTGCCATGGAAAAATATATTGCATTTAAATTATATGGTATTTAAACACAATACTTACTTTTTGAACAATATTGCATAATATTTCAATATTGTCTAATATATTAATACATTGTAGTATACTGTATATGCAGAAATATTGTCCCACACACAGTAACACTTTCATTACCATAAGAAGAATATCGACACACTCCTCTTTGTGTAAATGAATTAGCAAATGAAGGAGCATGTGTGATGTGTTTTGTGTACGCAAAGGTAAACTGCCCTGTGATGGAGCATTCCTGGGGTAAACACGTCATTTTCACTATTTTTATGAAAAGCAGAAAAGTCAAGACTTTACAAACGCACTGTATTTTTTATACGAAACATGCAGATAACTTGTCATCTCATCTTTAAACATTGAACAGAATACGTTTATCATATACTGTTGGTTTACCCATAAGTATTTAAGCATAAACACCTCCAACGATTTCATCCTGTGCTGACATCAAATACATTTCGATTTGGAAACTCACAGCAAACAGCAGGAAACGTGGCTTGTGAAGGGAGAGGAAAGAGTGTTTCTGTGTTGGTTAGCACAGACATGACTGTAATGAAATAAGGGAATGCTAAGCAAAACCCCAAACAGCTCCAGGATGGCTCTAAAGTTGGGGCCTTAGCCAACAGAGTCATGCATTGATGAAGACAACCTCGTTAGTGGCAATGTGTTAGCAGCCATATCTCGTAACAAAGCAATTTCAGCTCTTTAAACACAAGAATTTGTTTTCTCCATGGCGCTAATAGGCTTCTGTACAAAAGTACAGATCAATTACATTTAATTACATTTTGCCCGAGTGCCGCACAAACATCTCATCTCCAGAGTGTGTTTATCGAGCACTTTAGTGTGTCTGCTGCTGATGACTGTCACAGATGTTTGCTTTTTCTTAAGTCTTTAAATAAGAGCCCTCTCTTCTACTACCACAATAGTGGAGGTCTGATGCAATTTTAAAAATTAGTATTTTAATTCAGCCATTGGGGGACCCAAAACTCCCAATAAAAT